TGCAGAGATTGGCACCGAGCGGGCCTGTTTCCGAGACATGTCATCTTTCCCGGAAACTAAGGCTGAAAAATATGTCAACAAAATCAAGGGAAAGAAGTTTTTACAGTATAATCGTTTACAACTGTCCCGGATTTACCCAAGAGGCCAAAGACTAGACTCCTCCAACTACGACCCCCTGCCCATGTGGCTATGTGGATCTCAGCTGGTGGCACTCAATTTTCAGACTGCAGGTTTGTCTCTTTTTTTCAAACGAATAAAACAAAATCCAGCCCCAGTCATATTATAGGCTCTGTTGTGTCTTTATTTTGTCTTGCTTAGATAAGCCAATGCAGATGAACCAGGCCTTGTTCATGTTGAATGGGCGCTGTGGGTATGTGCTCCAACCGCCAATCATGAGGGACGACAGCTTTGATCCTTTTGACAGACACACACTTCGAAGCGTGGACCCCATCTCTCTGCAAATAGAGGTTCAATGTTTTTTTGCAGAATATTTGCAAAGGAGCGTCTCATTAAGTTTAAAGATGCCCGATGTAACTTTTTGGTTGGGGTCCCTCTCCTGTTTGTTTCTATGGATATGTCATTGCTCTGCCTGGAATGTTCCAAAGTATGACATTAAACAGCTCTGCCTTACATTTATTCAATTACAGGTGGTTTCATAGCTCAGAAATACCTGATTGAATATTCTGACTGTGAGCTGGGTTGCCTTGCCTCTCCACTGATTTGACCAGTAACTTGGTTTGGTTTGGTCTCCATGAAGATAGAAAGATTTAATGCCATACTGTGAAACAGGAAAAAAAGAAATAACATTTCCATGGAGAAAAGCATTTGAGGGACCCTTTACCAGAAAAGTTACACAATGTACATTTTAAGTATTGTAATTTATTTTAGCAGTTCATTGTAAACTATAAATTACATGGTATACACTGAATGGCATGGCAACTGTTTAACCTTTGAATCTGTATTATAGTCTGTTGCAAATGTAGTTTCACTAATTGATATGAACTGCTAAAAAATGTACATAATATTGTGACTTGACTTGGAAATGTTGAAAAGACAAACTGACCTAAATCATTGCCATATTTATTTAAGGTTTTGGGAGCTCGGCATTTACCAAAACACGGGCGTGGAATTGTTTGTCCGCTGATTGAGATCGAGGTGTGTGGGGCAGAGTACGACAGTGCCAAGCAAAAAACAGACTCTGAAGGTAAGAGTTGTTATTTTGATGCTTTTTATTTTTGAAGCAACAGATGTTTGTGTCCCCGCCTTGTTGTAGAAAAACAGGAAGCTGTCCAAACTATGGCAAAACATGTGAGGTTGTTGAAAGGGGATGACTGCTCAGAAGCACTACAATATACACATACAACAATAAATACAATTTTGGTATATAACCATTGGTATATAGTTGACTATAGTTTACCCACAAACATACAATACACATAGAGACTTAAAGAATGACTTGAAGGTGACCTATTTTACCTATTTTACCTGTTTTATATTCATGCAGTCCTGATGGAAAATATTGTACCAAATTATCTTTTTTTTTTTTTTTCCCTCACCTTTGCAGCTGACAATGGCCTAAACCCCACATGGCCCAGAAAGCCATTCCAGTTCACTGTGTGCAACTCTGCCTTTGCCTTTCTGCGCTTCGTCGTCTATGAAATCGACATGTTCAACGACCAAAATTTCCTGGCTCAGGCTACATTCCCCATTCAGGGTCTCAAGACAGGTACCACAATCTTAATAACAGAAAAAATACTTACAATTATAATATTTGCAATATATTTGCAATCATATAAAATATTTAAAGTAAAAAATATATAATACAGCTCCCCATCTGACATTATTATTATTTTTTTTAAATATCAAATGGATAAACCAGTTTTTATTCAAGTCTGAATAAAAAATGTACTGATAATTGTGGGCCAGATCTGCTCCATTGACTACCAGTTCACTACAATTTGGAGAAAAAAAAAATCATAGGCTATGACATGTTTTATTAATCCTTTGTTCTAATGCAAATGTAATGTCAAAATGTGACTATAGGTTATCGGTCAGTACCTCTAAAGAACAGCTTCAATGAAGACCTGGAGCTGGCCTCGCTTTTGGTCTACATGGAGATCACCAGAGGCAGGGTGAGAAATGTCTTTCTGCTTTGTGACCATTATAAATATCAGTGTTGTAAATTGGAAGTGTGTGGTATTGTATATGTTTAATCAGAAAAAAAATATTATTTGATTATAATCACGTTCTGAATAATTAACTCTCCAATCAATATATCCATGCGCAAAGGATTTCTAAGTAGATTTAAGTGTTAAATCTGACATTTATTCCTAAATTATGGTGACTTTTTCATTTTTGTGCCTCTCTTCTTTAGGATGAGAATGGAGAGGTTCTGAGTCCGTTTCTGGCTGTGGGGTCTTCACCTGTGGCCCTGTCGTCTCAGGCGAGCCGAGAGCGCTTGGGGGAATTTGGCTCTGTGTCCTCGCTCTCCTCCAACATGTCTCCTCTGCCTCAGTCCCCCGCTCAGGCCCAGGCTATAGGCTACAGGGGCAGGGAGGGCTCCTTTGAGTCCCGCTACCAGTCCCCCATAGATGACTTTCGACTGTCCCAGCAGTCACTGTTGGACCACATGGACTCCCAGAACAGGAGGTGTGTGCTGTAGTATCATGCTTTAGCAGTGTATCCCACATGAGCCAGTGCTCAGGCTGTCTTTGTGTCTGCAGTAGGATGTTGCGTGGGGCCCGTGTGGGTGGAGAGAACCGCGTCTGAGTCCAAGCCAATCAGGATATGCCCCCCCACCCTTGTACTGATGATGTCACTGACTGCTGTGAACACTGTTTCCATGGAAACGCCCACCATCGCTTTGGCCTACATTTCAGGCAGCTCTCATTTTCCAGACCCCCACCATCAGCCTGTTTGCCCCAGCCCTGCTCCGGCCTCCTGTTCTCCTGAGGAGGAGCTCGGACACAGAGGTGGGACGTCCTGCGACCAGGAACAAGAGACAGATGTTTACAGGAACAAAAATGGCTGAAAGTCCCTGCTCTGAGCTGACGTCTGTGGGGGTTGGACATCCTCCTCTGGTAAAGGTGTGCACATCAACTACTTTGGAGGAAGGAAAGAGAGCAGTTTAAATTAGTTGCCCTTCTCATTTTAGGAAATCTGAATATATAAGTATGTACTGTATTTATTCCTGCTGTGCTGTTGTCCAGAGAACAGTAGCAGCTGATCTGCTCTCAAAGAGCTCTTTCTCTGTTTTAATATTCTAATTATTTAAACATTTAAACATTCATAATGTGACTTTTATGTATATGTGTAAAACACGAGGGCTCAGTATGTTGTTTTATTGTCTCTTTTCTTTGTGCCTCCAGTGTAGTTCATGCAGATTTTGGAGGTAATTTAATATTTTTTTAGGCAATTCGTAGCCTGTTTTTGTGCAGAAGCCAGCCTCTCATTTTCAGGCCTTTTTTTTCTTACATTCCTGCAAACTGCACATCATTCCCCTGCACTGCAGGTGCCTTTAAGCCAGTCTCACACCTTTTTAATTTCTCTTCATTTTTGTTCTTTATCCACGTCATGACGGTGTCGAGCATCAGGGACTAACCCAAAGGTTTTAGACTGCATATGAAATCAAATGTACCTAATGTTTTTGAATGTAATCCAGAAGACTGACTGTGTGCACTTGTTACTGGAATTTAGAGGCTCTAATGAATTATTTTTAATATGGTCATGGAGCCATAAATAGTTTTACCATTTTGTTAATCTGTATTTTACAGCTACTAATACAGCCACAAATATTCACACATTAATTTAGAACTTACTCCTCATTTGTTATTGTCCTGTTGATTGATCAAATTATGCCTTTTATGGTGAAGTGCAGCCCGGAGATTTTGAGACATTACATATGATGCATCATTGGAGACTGTGTTTAGTCATTATTTTAAATACTGTAGTACTTGTCTAATCTTCGCCTTCTGTGTTCTGGGTGAGTGGGGTCAGGTGCTTGACCATCACATGGATTATGACTGGGCCTTTGAAGTCTTGACCAAGTTTATATGAAACAGTTTGTCTATATTGACTTATGTTGACAGTGACAGTGTTGGACAAGTACTTTAATATGTAAACTCAGTGTTCTCACTCAGTGGTTGACCACACACTGGGACTAAGCCATACAGTGTAATTGTGATGAAATAACAGCAGGAAAGGGAGGGAATATGCAGGTTCTCGCCCAAATCATTGACCATCCTGTTGGAGATGTCCCAATGTTATTTTGTCTTCTCATTGATTGTTGTGGAAAGCTCTCCCTCCAAAGCTGCATCTTCTTCTGCTGACCTTTCTGCTTGTGTCCACGCGCCTCTCTTAGTACATCACCATTTAGCCATATATTTCACAAGACCAGCTAGGTCTGAACACCTGCGCACTCACTCGGGTCTGCTCAGGACAGGTGAAACTACGCACCAGTCTCACCTGACAGTCGCCCTGAGCTCACTGTCTATAGATGTCAATCAACTGGACTTCAGAGGTGTGGGTGAGCAGAGCCAGTCAGTGTCTTACCTTGTCTTATGTCTGATTTTACAAATGCCTTTGTGTAATGTGCCTAAAACTCTGGAGAGAAAATGTACTCACTTTAATTTTGCCTTTCATATAAAACATACTCAAGCCTAAAAGTAAATAAAATAATTACTGCTTTAATTAAGGTCTGTCTTTGTGTGGCTCAGTCTTACTAGACTCAGGGAAACAGTTTTTGCTTTTCTTAAAGTAAAAGAATAACCAAGTGAGACTTTTTAGTCTCAGAGTTGTCTTCAGTGCTTTGTATTTGCTAGTTTTTGGTATGGTTCTAAATTCTGTATCCATGTGAGATTGGTCCTTCACTTCACTCATTGTAAAACAATTTTCGGCCCAATGCAGTACATGCAGTAATACAGCCAGCTGAATAAAACTATCATTTTGGGTGCTTAATCAAAACCTTTACAGAAAATGTAAACAAAACAGTCAACTACACATTGTATTACAAGTTGTTTTATTTTGCAAATAGTGTTGTAAAAATTGTACATTAAGCGTCAGTATGGAGCTTGCTGAAACAAACTCTGTTCTTTATTACCAAAGTTCCATAAAAAATGTATTTTCCAACAACAATAACGCCAAGCAGCACTCAATGCTACAACACAAATATTTCATACATAAAACATAATACAAGTCAGTTTCTTATTAAACACCGGGATGCTTGCATTCTTTGGATGACAATTTATTCAGCTATAGCGACCACTATTTTTTCTTTACCAAAAATATGTACATCTTTGAAGGATGGGTAACAAATTCATTCAGAATGCTTCCAGGCCCAGAAATTAAATCAGTGCTGCTGTTTCACATATCAGCACATTCAGAAAGGCTGTAAGCATGGTTTCAAAGTGATTGAGTGCAAAAGAACAACAATGGATGATAATGGCTGACATTAAGGCAAGCACCCTATCCCAACAAGTAGTATGTACATTATCTCTAATGTGTCTAATGACTACATTTCCATCATCTACTTTTGTCACACCAGGACAGGTAAACAGCGAAGGATGAGAGCTATACCAGCAGATAAACTCTCTTTGGTTGTTAAAATCACCAAAAAACGAGAATTGACAATCATTAGAAGAGATAGGATTTGAGGATGATTAACGTCTGCCAGTATGTAATGGGAGAAGACCATTTCTACCCTTTTCATTTTCACCCTGTGATCAGGTTATAACAGTGCCTGTGGTTTTGGATTCAGGCATAAAGACTACCTGCTACATAGTTTCAATTAAAACAAAGCCTTCAAAATACTCCTCCATAGTATGAACAGATTTTTTTCTACTAGCTTTGTCATAAAATATTACAACAATAGATAATAGGAATTTTATTTATTGCATTCTGACTAATCAAGCATAACTTTATGACCACACATTTATAATTTGAGACCCCATATGCAAAGCAGTGACACACTGTATTCAGCATCAAGCACTTCAGGTCCTTAGGGTTACCTATTCTTGCCTCTGTCACATTGCTTGCTGGCTCATAGACCTTATCTTACACACTAACAGGGACCACTATCATAGCATATCTGATCAGACACACTGTTTTTTTCCAAAACACATCTAGACTATTTTCTCGTTATTTCATATTCTTATTCATCAGGTTTGGACACACCACACACAGATTGCTCCATCTTCTCCTCGTTTCCTGCTCCCGGCTGTGGCTCCAGAGGAGATGCAGACCCTGGCAGCTGGGCATCTGATGATGTTGAACCCGGTATAGCAGGTTTTGTGTTCTCTGTTATTTGGGGCAGCGGGACAGAAGAGGTTTTGGTAGAAAACCAGTATTTCACCAGGTCGCTCGTCAAGCCACTGGCTTCTATCAACTGTTCAAGCTGTACACAAAAAACATCTCAGTCAGTCACATATAAAAGCAGCAATTATACAATAAGTCAACAGAACTAAAATGAATTACTCCTTGTACTGTTGCAATACATCACATAAATAAGGGTGGATGATAAACCAAACAATGGTTGGAGTTACATGTACACTCAAAATCATTATTATTAGATTTTTTTTTAAGACTTAAATGACATGTAAAAAGCATAATGATCAAATTTCTCTCTGACCACTGATGATTCCACTGATTACGAACATTAGATCAGATTGTGTGATTTATACGTCATTAAATAATAAATGTTCAGAAATCAGATAATCAGATTTCGGTGTGCATGTGAACATAGCTAATTTCATAAGAGGTCATGATTTCAATATTATGACTATTCATGTGCATTTAATATCTTTACATTGTCTCCCAGTGATAACTAACTTAAACCATTGGTTAAATCTGCCCATCACTCACAGCATAACAGACGCTGACCAATAGCAATTGGAGGTGTGGTTGGGGAAAAGTGTGTTTGAGCATGGAGTGTCATGCCTACGATCACCATTAAATGTCAAAATAATTGCCCAGACCAGAAAATCTGTTTAAATGCTCTTCAATGCACATTCATCCATGCACTTTTATTTAATGATCCCTTGAAAAATAAATTAATAATTCATTGCATTTTAGGTAAATGAGTAAATTTGCCTAAATAGCAGTATTGGGACTGGTACAATTAGCAACTCTAACATTTAATAAGAAAATTTTGTATTCTCGACCCCACACTTTGACTTTACAACAATACACCACTATGGCCATGTTCAAATACAGCACAACATGTATGCATCTCTAAACTTTCCAGTTCCATACCTCAGACTCTTTAAGCCGGCCATTCTTGTTCAGATGTGTCTGCAGAGCCTGTTCATTCCCCTTCTGCAAATCTTCACTCAGTGCTGTGCGTTGATACGTCTCCAACCACTTCAACTGTCCGTTCTTCTGTACATATCTACAATCTCCAAACCAGCGGACCACCTCAGGCCTGGGCAGTCCTGTACCTGAGATCAGTTCATCATACTGGGTAGCACTGGGCCACTGTGTCCTGGCATAGATCTGTTTTAACATATGCAGCTGTTCAGGGGTCTTCTTGCCTCTATAAGCTGCCGGTTTGGGAGACACAATTGTTTTGGGTGTTGTGGAGGAGTGTTTTGAGGATTGGGTTGGACCTGGCGATGATGATGGTGTCTTTTGTAAATTAACAGAGGGGCTATCGGAAGCCTCACCCTCCTGTTTTGCTTCAGTCACCTTTAACATTTTAAGATTGATTTTTATTGGATTGACTTTAGGCTTTTCCTCATCCTCCTCATCCTCTTCCTCCTCCCTTATGGCCCGCTCCTCATCCTCCCTCTTTTTCTCAGCTGCCACACGTTTCCTCCGTTCTGTAAACCAGCCGTGGATCTCACGTCTGGTCATTTTAGTTTCAGCTCTGAGTCTGTCTACTTCCTCGTTGGATGGGTCCGGGTCTTGGGAAAAGCTTGCCTCCAGTGCTTTCACCTACAAAGTCAAAATCAAATTGTTATGCAAATAATAGTAAAGCAAAATGACATCCATGGAGGAAAAACTTCTGCAGAATTTTGAATGAAATTACATACAAAATTAAAAAATGCACACAAAAAAGTAAAAATGTACTCAATGTGCTTGAGTGCCCAACATCTGATATCTCTTGTGGTTATTGCCACTGTATCGAATTAGACTAATCCATGAAGACAAGCAGGTGATGCTATCTGACCAAGTTACAGGTCAGATCTGTGGAGGAGTGACCTCACTCACAGTAAGAAGCCATGTTTTTGAAGGAATTCTTTGCAGCTAGATGTTTATGGTTGCGAACACCGCACCAGAAAAATGACATGGGTATTTTAAGTATGAAACAAGACTTAACAGCCTAACAAATGTCACTTATGTAATTAATGTATTTATTATTTTTGCTGCTTCAAGTATTACAACAATTGCCTGTCTTACGTCCCATCTCCTCCCATGGTGTTTTCTCTATGCAAGAACTGTATGGCCAAAACTTCAGCCTCAAAACATAGAAAAACAAATGAATATACCATTATTCCAGATTGTGTGATTCTGTTACCTGATGTGGTTCTCTCTCTTTGTAGCGTATTGCAGTGAAGTCTGGAGATGGTGGTCTAGGGGCTCGTCTGGAGGGAGTGGTGGGAGAGGTGGGAATTTGTGATGGTGGTGGGCTCTGAGGAGCAGCTGTGTTCTTAGCGTCTGGTGTGCCACTGGTCTCCGAAAGATCCAGAGGGGTACCAATGTTAGCTGTGCCACTCCCTGGTGTACTCGGAGCACTAGTTGAAGTCTTGTCTTTGCCTGATCCTCCTGAAGTACGTGACCCTTTAAGATTACGCAAGTGGTAGCGCCTGTCACTGAACCATTTTCTGACTTCCCTCACTGTGAGTCCAGTTAAAGCAATGAGCCGATCCACTTCTTCCTGGTCGGGGAATTGGTTGCTCTGAAAACTATCTTTCAAAGCACTGAGCTGTTCTTGTGACTTTTTGCCCTTGTAAAAGCTGGGGTCCAAGAAAGGGTTGACAGGGGTTTTGGAGCCAGAGATGGAGCTGGAGGAAGCTGAAGGAGAGGGTGAGGAAGATTTGGAGGCGGGTGATGCGGCGTCCTCCATTTTGATGCTTGGAGAATTACTGGCAGAGGAGTGGAAATCATCAATATTTGTGCCTTGTGCATATTTGCTTGTAGTGTCTGTGCTGTCAGTTTGTAAAACACTAGGACTGCTGGATTTGGCATTTTTAGTATCACTGCTATTCTTACAATTGCTTTTGTTTTGGGACTCTAAATTACTAGGTTTACCATTAATATTATTTGTTTTTGCACGGTTGCTGGTAGCTAGACTAAGATTGATGACACTTGCCTGACTATTAGTAACAGAGCTGGATCCATTTCTTTTACTGGGACTAATAACATTGGTCCCTGCACTGCTGCTGCCCACAGTCCCTACCACCATACTAATTCCCTTGTCTGCCACCAGTGCGGCAGCAGGGCGAGCTTGCATCATGGGCCGGGCAGCTGCTTGTGGCTTGGGTGTAACAGCGAGTGCTACTGGAGCGCTGTTAACCTGAATACCATTGGCCATCATAGGCTGTGTAACAATCACACCCCCTTGGCTGACTAAAGACCCCTGGAGGATTTGGGGCAGGCCAGTCGCCCCCAATGACGCCGGCAGAACGGCTATGGTGTGCTGAGCAGGGCTAGTGAGACTCGGTGAACTGGCTGGTGCTGTCTGGATAATGGTATTGAACATTTTCCTTCTGGCCTCTTCAATTTCCTCTGGAGACCAGCTGATGCCCTGCTTCAGTCTCTGAGCAGTGAACCAAATCTTAATCTGCTCCTCTGGAAACTTGGTGACAACAGTCAGGTAGCAGAGCTCAGCCTTTGTGGGATACGGGAACTTATTAAAGGAGGTCTTCAGGAAGGAAGATTCATCCATAGAGGCACTATATGTCGGAATACTGCTTAAAGGAATCATCACCTAGAATGCAAAAACAAAGTATATTACACTACTTCTGTAGAAACACCTGCCAGACCTGTATGGGTGAAGACTCTTGCAAAATAAAAAGCAGTATGCATTGCTTATAACACAAGGATTAAATCGCCAACCTTTTGGTTAGTGAGTAATAGGCACTAGCAACATACAAAACATGTCCAAGCAAAACTATACAAAAATGAAATAAAATTACCTTAGGGAGGTTTTTAGAAGACTGTGATGATGAAGAGGACACATTCGATGCAGAAACAGATGTGGAGTGATGCAAATTTTTGTTCTGGACCACAGACACCACCTACAAATTTAATAAAACATTATCTTTTGAAAAAGTGAATTTTCAAAAACAGTCAGAAGAATTATCTGTGTGTTTATCTGTTTAAGTTTATGTTTATTTTTGGCCATGTGAAGACATATAATTCTTCTGCTGATGATAAGAACATTTTTGAACAATGAAACATAATATTTTATACAATTTGTTAAAATAAAAGTGCATGAGATATATATAAAAAAAAAAAAACCTTACTTGAGTTATAGGCGTCTTAAGCATTGGCAAGGCTCCAGAACCATTGACTATCTGTATGGCAGAGGGCATGACTTTAGCTGTGCCATTGTGGACCAGAGTGGAGACATGACTAACATTTACTGCTGTAGCACTTTCTTTCCGGTCAGTCTCTCTCGCCCCGGGAAGTGACTCTGCTTCATCCGATATAGTATGTGACACCACTATCTTTTTAGGCTCAGATTTGCCCTTGAGCATTCTCATAATAGGAGTTTTTGTGATCGCAATTTCAACATCCTTGCCAGCCTCTGTCCTGTTGAGTAAAGTCTGCTCCACCACAACCCTTTTGTCCTTCATTTTCAGTTGCAGAGTGGTATTCAAAGTGCTGGGGTGAACCCGGGCATTGTGAAGCGCTAGCCCTTCAAACTTTGCTGACGAAATCCCACAGGTGAGGCAAAGAAAGCTGGGGTCCGCACGGAAATCTGGGTGCCCACTGTATACATGGTCCAAAAACAAGTTAAGATCCTGCGTTTCAAAGTTGCAAGGTCGACAGGTATAAGTGTCATCTTTCTCCTCAGTTGTTTCTGCCTTCTCATTAGCATCCAGGGAATTATTTAGATCAATGTCCAAACTCCTAGATGGTCCCAGATACATGGGAGAATCCTGGTCTGCTTCGTCCGTGGGGCGTAGTACCTTGCTAGGGATCATGCAAGGAGTAGAAGACTTCCTTTTGCTGGCCATGGCGTGACCAGCTCGTTGTCAGGGGTGTGTGAGTGAGAGTACAGACCGGTTTCTGGTTCACTGTAGACCAGGCGTGGGGGTTGGTGGATGGGAGGGCATGTCCACAGCACAGGTCATTCGCTCACTGCAGTCTAGAGGCCATCCTGGAAGCAAAGTTGGAAAATCAATTTAGTTTTTTTTTTTTTTTTGTAAAATAGATGTTTTGATAATTTGTTGCAAACCAAAACATAAACAGCAGTAAAATGCAAAATGATTCAAGAAGATACAAAGTCATTCATACAGTGTTTCCATTTCATAGTATGTCCATCAAGAAGTGATTGATCAGTTGGTGATAATCAAGTGACACCAATTCTCTAGATTGATCACAACCACTCAGAGCTCAAACTACTGCTGTACTGGAGTTTTTGGGGAAAGCTCCTCTCGTCTCCCCTTCTGTCCCCTCCCCCACACAGCTCTGCCTCACTTCCCCTCACGCGGACACACCCCCAACCGAGAGGAGAGCGCATTCTGCATTTGCTGGCGTTTTCACTGCTGCAGTTTCACTAGACACCATCAAGAAAGAACGAACTCAAGGACAAACTCACAAAAATACAACTTGTCTAGAAATTAATATTAATTAAAATGACAAATCATCATATGTTGTGTTTTCTATTTAGAAACAAAGAGGTGAACTGATGCATGATTAAAAGGATGGCTCAAGGGCAATTAGTCAACTAATTACTCTGCACTGACAACTCAGGCTCAGGTAAAATTCATTTAAATTGATTAAGACAATTGCTTTAGAATTGCTCCAACATGTGTTAAAATCTGAAATATGTCATAGTTTGAGTTCATCTGAGGCTATGACTAAGTGATACACACTTCTTGATGTTTTACCAGTTTCAGAAAGTAGTCATCTACTAGTATATATTGTCAAGAATTACTGATGTAACAAAGTGTAGCCTTTATTACAGAATAACAGCTTGCCAGTGGATATTATAACCAGATAAAGTGCACTGAAGTTAAAAGCATTTTAAACAATTACTAGTTTGCAATTTAGTGTAGATCAGGCATTCCAGTCTATGAAACAGTGATGAATTGGAAATTGCTTTGTGGTTGTTTAACACTGACGAGACTAGAGAGCTGATGGAGAGTGAGGGGTTAACAGTGAAGTTTCCTCCAGTCAAGGGAACGTGATGCTCCACACACACACACACACACACACCCCAGGGAGACTAACTGCCCTTGGCCTAGGCCGCCATGCACCCTTCCAACACTCCCCTGCCATTCAGTTCTGCATCAGGGGGCACAGTGCTGCCAAGGTTGCCTGGTCACATGACCCACACAAAGGCTTATGGGTGGGCAATTCCAGCCATCCATCACGTGGTCCTGTTGGGTGTATGTGGGTGGTGGGGGATGGGATACGGGTGAGGAGGCGAGGAGAACGAGGGGTGTGAACTGTTGTGGAGGAAGCAGTGAGGTGTCTGAGCCAGGAATTTTCCTCCAACCACACCACCAGCAGCCCTGTGCCCTGCCAAGCCCCCGCCCCCCTGCTCCGTACTACAATCACAAGTCCTCACCCCTCCCTACTCCACTGCAAGAACTGGAATGTTCCAACCTAAAGCAACCTGGTGCTTGACTTTACCTCAGCCTTGAATATCACAATTTGATAAAATGTAAAGTGATATTTGAATCAGGGATACTCAACACTATGATACAGGTAGAGAGACTACACCAGGTGTCTATTGTTGAACTCCTCAGATCCTAGGTTTTACTCTGATGCATTCCAGATTTAGTCCTGGGTTATTTTCTAGCCCTGGCTTAACCGCAGTTTTGCTAGTCCTGATTTTGACCTGGTTTAGCCTTGCTACAAAATATTTGTGATAACTTGGTATAAAATGAGCACACCATAACATACTACAGTTGAAGTAAAATGTACTGATGATCTATGCCAAACCACTAGCCCTTATTCTCATATGAACAATGTTGACAAGCTACTGGCATGTTAAAATCAGAAGGCTTTATTCACTGGAATGCTGCATGCTAGTTGACTCACTGCTAAGAGTGCATCAGCTCTTCACTTTTCAAATGGTGCATACAGGTTCAGTGACCATGGTGTGATGGTGGGTTTGCGTCTGTTAGCTTGTGTGGGTTTCCTGTGAGACTTTAGTGCAGAGGAAGAGGAGATGTGCCGGGTGTGGTGTGGTGTGCGTGGTCTTCACCCTGCTTGTATTTGTGTGTGAGTGTGTGGGGGTGGATGCCTGCATGCCTGTCTGTGAGCCTTGTTTACCAAACTGGTAGTCAACACTGTCCCACTGACACACCGAGACAATATGTTTTGCTTTGTTTTATGGCCTGATGATAAAAAGTGAAGCATGTTATGAACAGTGATGGCCTTCGCAACGTCCTGTCTTCCTATATGTAGTCCTAGGTATACTGCAGTCTGAGACAGCTTATTGGTAGCAGATCCAACTTGTAATTTTTTAAACTAAAATTTAACTGGTGCTCAAATACCCTCAAAAAAGCTTTACTTAGCTGTAGCAAAAACAGATCTACTGTATTAGTGGGTCAACTTCAAGGCCGAATTCTAAAAAGGATTGTTTGATAAAACACAATCTATCAAACCGATCAGACGGTATAACTAAACTGTCTTTGTACTTCACATAATAAGTAGAGTAGACTCCAGGGCCAGTGTTTGGCCTGTGCACCACACTTTTGGGAGCCCTTGGTTACTTTTCTCAGTAACATAAGACCAGCAACTCTTTTATTGGCTTCTGACTTCTTCTCACTGTTCATCCAAGTTTGGCCTGGGGAGACAGGTCGGCAGCGCCACTGGTGTGTTACTGTCTCCCATGGCAACCACCTCCTACCCTCTCTTTCTCCGCCCATCGCTCTCTTTCTGTCTCCTTATAGCCCATTTCTCTAAAGTACTCGGCTACTGCAGACCCCCGTCTCTGTTGTGGCCAGTTTGCTGCACACATCAGTGGGACTGGTATTTGGAGAGTCACAGCCCTGCTCCTATTTCAGTGCGTCCCTGCATGGTGTTGATGTCTCCTAGCTAGGTGTGGGCGCTGTCGCCAAGGCGTGCCATTGGCCAGAGTTGACGCCTTCATGTAAGGGAGCAGTCATGCTTAAGCAATGGCTTGTTGGTGAATCTGGAGGTGTTTGTCTAAAGCCTTAAGCAGCTTGAGACGAGATGGAATAGAATGAACAATGAGAATCAGAAAGTCAAAGTAGAATCCACCTGGGCTTTGTGATGTTGCTGTACCAATATTACTGCTCACTCCACACCTTCACTACCAGCAGAATGAATTCAACCATTTCTCACGTATCAAGGCCAATTAGGCCTCTGTTAATAAGGTGAATCAAAAATGTATGCCCACATCCACATTTTTTTCCACATTTTAATTTATCTCACTCCCATTTGAAGGAGGGAAGGGTTGTCTGGGTTATATAGATGCTTGCAATGTTGAGGATACTGTCAGTGCAGGCGTTAAAACTGGGTTGCTGAGAGAGTAGGGAGAGAAAAATGGCGGAAGACTGTGCTCTGTGCTACCCAACCTAAAATGGCTGACATCACAAGCTGTTAACCAGCCAAGCAGAGCAGAGGCTGCTACTGCTGCTGACCAAATCCTGCATACAGTGGAAACATGAGAGGGCCACAACCAGATTGGCGCACACAATAATAACCAAAAATGCACTTTCTCAAGCTGCCATTGGTGTGGGTTTGCAAAAACTAGTGAATGTACAGAATTTTTTGTAAATATTTCAGAGTAACTGCTCCAGACAGAAAGAAAATCCAAGAAAAGACAATAACTTCAAACCCAAGCAGCAACATAATACTCTATATGGCCTGTTCCCAGAAGGTGTCACTAGGGCAAAAAACAATACGTCCATAATAAGGAAGTAGTCCATTGATTGTATTGCCTAAGGAAATCTAACTTTTCTGAGCTATAGGTATCATTCAACTGAAAATTCATTAAGGTATGACTTCAGTGGATCAAAAGGTGAGCTGTGTAATGTAGGGCTACAACTACCTGGATTAATGTCCCTGTGTCTAGGCTCACATGGACGTCAGACACAAATGAGCTGTCTGGGAGAGCTCCCTCTAATCCTAAGAGTTAAACTGTCAACAGTGAGGAAGATGATGAGGATGTTAACGTGATTCCACCCTTCTACTGAGAGAAAGGTTAGTGGGACATGCACATCATGTATATTAAACATACCCCAAAGACATTTACCAATCTAAAAAAAAAAAACAGGGCAAGATTTAAATAAACATTTAAGGTGGTATACATACAGCTGTTTTGGGTTAAAGGGTTTAAACACACACACACTATGCTACCCCGAATGTTTTGTAAGACCAATAAACGTAAAAGACAAATGTAAGCACAATGTTAAATTTTAACTAAATAATGATATGGGCAAAATAATATTTTCATAACTAAACTGACACTTTCTCACTGACGTTCATAAGTGAGTGCAGCAGCGTTAAACATTTCCGTCAGTGATGCGTGCTCTCTCACTCTATGCGCGTTAGGCGGAGTAAAGCCCACTCTGGATCATATGCTCAGGTACAGGGCACAATCAGACTGGATACGAGGCAGAACCCAAACCTCAGCCCAGTACCACTCTCTCCTCCCGTTGGCTGTCGCCATTTTAGGCAGGCGACATACAGCTGGCCAGCAGCACTTCGCCAAAGCCCACAAAGGTGTGCTCCACACAAGTTTGGAGAGGTATGAAGAGTTTCACATACATAACACAAAACCCACGCACTCACCTGGCTTTGTCTCGGGTCGCTTCTGGCGCTGATTTGTGAAAAGTTTACAGTGCTACGGGCTCAGAGCGGTACGCAGCCCGGAGGCGGGGGCGCAGCTGATGGTAACTTGGGTAAAGGGTCTCCTCTGAAACCCGACTGGGATCAACGTGACACAGGGCCCACGGTGCTCGTGTGCTGTGCTTGTTTTGCGCCTGGTGCTCTCGGTTTATCAGACACAAGGCAGAGGAGGAAAATACGGCAGACGTACCGAGAGAAGAGATGGACACGTGATACAGACGTCACAGACGTAGAGTTGGCGTGAGGCTCCACCGCGGAGAGAGAAAAGTGAGTCACATCTCGACCCGTTTAGCCTTGGCCGGTGTGGGGGGCAGAATGACTTTTAAAAGCCCACTGCACTGTGTGCCATTTTATCCTCTCAGGGCATAAGGCAGAATCTCACCTGTCCCCCTCCCCAGGTAACTAAAGTTCAGATCATCACCCTGAAATTAATGCACATTTGTTGGCTCATTACTGACTTGTCTATTCACATACATGCCTTTGCCTTTCTTTTTTCTTTTCTTTTTAAAAAAAAAGTCAAATAAAGGTGTCTAGGCAAGAAAATGGGACTTCTTACGTTGAAATGAATTAAATGAACAAAGTCCCTCAATGAAACACATAATATATCACCATCAGCCCTCTGAACTATAATTAACAGAACATATTTGCCATATATAGGTCATGTAGATCCATGATATTTGATCATTAGATCAAAAGCCCCCTACTGGTTTATCCAAGAAGCTCGAAATTAGACCTAATTAGTTCCTGGCTAGCCAGAACCACACGTAGAAATGACTGGCTGGTCATGCAAGCTATGGGAGCACCCATGGATCTATAATAATTACTTTTTATTATACTAACATTATAACACACATATTAAGATTCCATCAATGCTTTCCTTATCTTCACGGTGTAGTTGGAGACTTGGGTGTTGCGTTTGTTGTTATTATACTTTTTTTTTATCCTGACAAAAATTTGGCCCGTGAGATGTCCAAATTGCTTCCAATATTAAATAGTTGCTTTAAATTCTGCGATATTTTTTCATGCCAATAAGGGTCGCTGTTTGATTCATTTGTTTTAGGGACCGAAACGTCGCACTCTCTGATTGGTTCTTCGAGGCTGGGGTCAAACGTGTCTGCGCATGCTCAAATGGTTTTCTTAGCCGAGAGTCCAAAATCTGTCAGATCAGCGCAGCGTTTTTGGATTAATACCTCCACTTATTTTACTTACTGACTTTTCTTCAACTACTCTTCCACCTTTCCCACAGATAAAGCGCTTCAGTGGGTGGATATAGTGCCCTTAACTTTGGAAATCTAACAAAATGACGAGCAGTGCGAAGAGGAAAGAAGACAGTCATTTGGCGAATGGAGGTGTAAAACAGTCCACATGGACCAAAGCCCTCAGCAGTAACGCCGTTTGGGAGGAGAAGGTCAGCTGTCCTTGTAGGGGAATTGTGGGACTTCAACCTAACTCAAACTTTCAATACAAGGAAATACTGCATGTTGCTCCATACAGCTGATTTAAAACATGCTAACCTTTATGCTAAGGATTATGGGAGGCTATGGCTATTTAACTTATTTTAATCCTCTTGAGGGTCTTTGTTCTTTTTACTCGTGAACTATAAGGATTAGATATAAATGTCTTTTTTAATGTTTGTACATCAATACAACAGTACAAATAGCCCTTAGGCAAATTGGTTGATTAGTGACTGTTCATATATTCAGCTGTTTCCTCTTATTTATTAGGGTGTGAGTCAGTGTCAGACCTATTGTAAACATCCCTTCTGAACACATTGTATAAACTACATTGTTTATTTTTTTGTTTGTTTTTTTGCAGGATGAGTTTTTAGATGTCGTCTACTGGCTTCGTCAAATTATTGCTGTAATACTTGGTGTCATATGGGGCATTGCACCATTAAAAGGATTTTTGGGAATAGCCATGTAAATATGCTTATATAGTCCCCCATTCCATTCAAATACATGTCACAAGTAATACAAAAATCCTAACCTTTTTTTTTTTTTTTTTTTAGATTCTGCATAATAAATGCAGGGGTCCTGTATGTATACTTCAGCAGCTTTCAACAGATTGATGAGGAAGAATATGGAGGCACATGGGAACTCACTAAAGAAGGATTCATGACATCTTTTGCTCTTTTTCTGGTAAGAACACATGGATGGATGACTTGTGAAGACTAAACTAGAAACATGCATCATAATAACATGTACACAATCAAGTCACTTAAAACAAATAAAACCTTATGGCTCAAGTTTGAGTTTGGCCTATTTTTGTAAACACATATCCATGTAATCCCATATTTTGACAGCCTGTAAAAATAACATTTGCTGTTGAGCTGGCTGACTTTATTTATCTCAAATTATCACACTTAACTACATTTTAAGTTGTTTAAACTCTGCATTTTTTGTATTTAACTGGTGGTTGTCATGTCCTTTTCCAGGTGGTGTGGATAATCTTTTACACAGCCCTACATTTTGACTAACTTCTTCTGTGGACATTAATATCATTCTTGATCATGCCAAACCTCTCTGTGGCTAATGAGGGCGGTACATTATGTCATCACAATCTGCAGTGCTTCGTGGGAACCATGTTGGAAAGAAACATTTTTATATTTCATCAAGACATCTTCCATTACATTTTCAGTACTTTTGAGTTCAACACCAATTTCTGTAGGAACAAATAATGTACATTTTTAAGCATAAGCAATCCAGAAACTGATGAACAACTTTGGTAACAAACCCATTCTATTTGTGAACAAGCACATTTCCCCAACCTACTATAATTTATGTAAAAGGTTTAATTGCATTTGAATAATAAATTCTACTTAAGACCTAGCATTTGCTTTTAGTGCACTGTTCATCTAATCCACAGGGAAGGAAATATGCAATACATTTTCCCTAACCACAAAATGCTTTTGTGTATGGAAGTACAGTGCAGAGGTTTTATTATTCAAAGCTGTTTGAGTAATTTGGGTAGATTTGTTTTTCGGTAGCAAATCACACTGCATTAAAAGTCTTACATTATTTTAAACATTTTAATTTAAACTTGTCTGTAAATAAAAGTACAATTTGTAAATTCATCTAGTATTACATGGATTTGTTTGTACCGATGTTATATCTTGTTTGATGTAACATTTATCAGTAAGTATTTTATAGTGAAGGACATTATAAGGTCATTGTATTAATACTCTCACGGTTGATATTTAAAAGGATTGTATTTTCTGATCAACTCTTTTAAAAGTCAATAAATGAGGGGGAGTTATTTGACCTCCATTTTAAATGACAATGTGTATGCTATTGTTTTTAATTTTTTATTTAGAGACACCTGTATAAATGCACGTCTATTTCCACTAGTCACAAAATATACAAACAAATAATAATAAAAAAATAAAATCTATTCTGTGAACTGGTCAAAAGTTGTTTTTTTAAATGTCAAGATAACTTGATTAGACCATTGTGGTACAGGTAATAGGCTAATATACAAATGCTATAGAAAAGATTAGTATAAAAGTTTAAAGGCTTTTCCATCCAACAATGGTCAAAACGGCGGGCTATTTTTATAGCTACTTTTTCACCATTGACTGGATACATGACGTCGTTGCCGCTTGTAACACGTGACTTAGAAGCCAAGATGGCGGCTTCTCTCCCCACGAAGAAATTTTGGAAGCCGGGTAAGTGCATTAAAACACAACATACAAAGCATTCGTTAGACACTGTTGTCATCTTAGGGGTTGCACACATCCATCCATTTATTCATTCGTTCAGTTAGTGCTGTTGTGTTTTTAGTGAAGCTTCTTATCATCATGCTTGTGGTAGCAGAACTTCGTATGACAGCGCTAATAACACAGTAAATACATAGTGGTTGTTGATCAAGTTGCATTAATAAATATTTTTGTAACCTTAATTTAATGTAGTATATGCTACTGTAATGATAGGCTAACCCCTACCTCTGTCTTCACCATCTCCATCACCTTCTCCTGCTGCTGTCTAGGGTCTGAGGGACCGGGGATTTCAGAGGAACGGGACCTCACTTCAGAGACCACTGGCTCCCCTGTCATCTACAACCCGAACACTGCTCTGTCCATAGAGAATCAGCGGCAGAGGCTTCCCGTCTTTAAGGTTTTGCCCCATTACTAGCCTTAGGATTTAAGAATACCTGCATCAGTGCATCGCCTCATAATCATGTATTTCTTCACTGTATTCAGCACAGGAATAATATTTTGTACTTGGTTGAGACCTTTCAAACTGTCATCATTGTTGGAGAGACAGGATGCGGCAAAACAACACAGATACCTCAGGTTAATACGATCTTTTTTATGTTAAGAAGGGATAGTACTGCAGTGGACTGATTCTGATTGCCAATGAATAATTAACTATGACCTTGTACTTTTGCTTAGTGGCCTGTATTTCAACAATCTGGACACCACAAGCTATATTATAATTTATGCAAAGTTAACAACTTTTCTTATATCCACTGTAATCTTCTAATGCTTTTTAGTACTTGCTTGAAGCTGGTTGGGCTGCAGAAGGAAAAGTGATTGGGGTGACACAGCCTCGTCGTGTGGCAGCCATCTCTGTAAGAACTTCAATAATGTTACAACTATCTCTTGGTATTTTCTTGGATTAAACATTATTCTTGTTAACTATGGTCAACATAGGTGGCAGGTCGTGTTGCAGAGGAGCGGGGTGCTCTTTTGGGCCATGAAATTGGGTATACCATACGTTTCGATGACTGTTCTGATCCCCAAGCTACAAGAATAAAGGTAGTTTGACACGTTTGTGTAGTATTTTGACCTTAGATTTTTTTATCTTATTGTTATGCTCTGTTTTAGTTCCTTACAGATGGGATGCTGGTGCGAGAGATGATGGCAGATCCTCTTTTGAAAAAATACAGGTAAATGATAAATTGCAGCACTGCAGTTTTATTTATAAAATGTACAATATAAATAAAGTGGATTTGGATAATGCAGTGAAATTGTTTTAATTTAGACCATTGTATTTACATTGTGATTATTCTGTGCAGTGTTTTGATGCTGGATGAAGCACATGAGAGAACCCTTTACACAGATATCGCCATTGGTTTACTAAAGAAGGTAAGTGGTAGTTGAAAAGGAAAACAATTGTGCTTGCTGACAGCATTCTAATAGTTAAAGTATTGTTGCTTTTTCCTTAGATTCAAAAGAAGCGAAGGGACCTGCGGGTGATTGTAGCCTCTGCTACCCTGGATGCCAAGGTGACAGCACTGTTAAAATGAGCAGATTTGCTTGTGTTGAGAGAAAATAATTACCTGATAATATATCAGATCATGTACCTTTGATCTGACATCTGACAAACATGGATGAAAGACTGACAAAAGCAGGCCTTGAGCATGTTGAGAACAAAAGGCGTCAGCAAAAATGGTTGATAAAACTTCTCATCATAAAAAGTCTTTTATCCATACATGCAAATTTGTTTTTGCTGCTGTTGTAAGCTCTTTTTTTAAGAGGAAGAAAACACAGTTAACTTTCAAATACCTTAAATTTGATTAAAAAAAAATTGTATTTTGCTCGTGGTAACTCAGAACAATATTGCTTCTTAAGAAATTCCACGAGTTCTTCAACTTGAATGAATCTGGTGATCCGAGCAAAGACACATGTGGCATTCTGACTGTTGAAGGACGCACCTTTCCTGTGGATGTTTTCTATACTATCAGGTATAGAACTAATATGCTGAAAATATAATGTCTGTTGTGTGACCAATGTGTAATGATTTACTGTTTAATGTCCATTTTGTTTACAGTCCTGTGCCAGACTATGTGAAGGCTACTGTGGAGACTGTGCTGAAAATTCATGAGACAGAGGATGATGGAGATGTTCTGGCGTTTCTTACTGGGCAGGTTTGTTACTGTAATTTTAATAGTTAAAATGGGATTGCACAAATGTGTTTAATTTAACCAGTTTTATGTCTAATATTTCAGGAAGAGGTGGAAAAAGTAGTATCTCTTCTAGTGGAGCAAGCCCGTACTCTGTCTCGATATGGCATGAAGAAACATCTCCGAATTTTGCCTATGTATTCCGGACTGCCTTATGCTGATCAGATGAAAGTGTTTGAAAGGACATCCCCTTCTGTCCGCAAGGTAATTCTTGACTACAATATACACTGCAATTGCAAATCGCCACCATCATTCATTTACCTAGTATTTTATATTGATATTTTCTAGGTTGTGGTGGCCACAAACATTGCAGAGACTTCCATTACCATAAATGGAATAGTATTTGTCATTGATTGCGCATTTGTGAAACTGCGGGCTTATAACCCTCGCACCGCCTTTGAATCACTGGTTGTTACCCCAATTTCCAAAGCTTCGGCAAGCCAAAGAGCTGGAAGAGCTGGAAGAAACCGACCAGGAAAATGTTTTAGATTATATACAGGTAAATGGGTTCTTAAATTTTAACATGGGTGAATTTTTATATGGTAATGCACAATATACAGGTTAAAAATTGTCCATATATTGCAACTTATCTACAAGAACATTTTCATTATCACCTATCTCTAAGGAAATAAAGGAGCTGGCACTTCAGTACTTTAGTTTGCCCAGTCTTATTTCATTATCTTTGATTTCCACCGGTGTTCCTTTTCACAGAGGAGGACTATGAGAAACTGCCTGCTGCGACTGTGCCAGAGATGCAGCGGACCAATTTGGCTCCTGTCATCCTGCAGCTCAAAGCATTAGGCATCGACAATGTGCTGCGCTTCAGTTTTCTCTCCGTGAGTAGCTCATTTTGCTGCCATAGCCTCATGTAATGTGTGCACCCACTGTGAAATCAAATGTTCTTATACATTTTAATTAGTCGAAGTAGCTCCTAGCCAATAAACGTGCTCAATATATTTAAATACGTCAATATTTAAGAAGACTGTTTACGAATATGAATATTTGTTATCATATTAAGGATGTAAATAAACTGTTGACTTTTTTGCAGCCTCCGCCCGCACAGACTATGGTTCAAGCGTTGGAGTTGCTGTATGCTTTGGGAGGTATAACATCCATGTGTATAAGAAAGACAGATTATATTGTTTCAGGCTTGTTCATTTTGGTATAAACACATAGAGACTATCTCATTGTATTTTACTGTTTTTGTCTTTTCCCAGGCTTGGATCATTATGGCCGCTTGACTGATCCAATGGGGTTACGGATGGCTGAGTTTCCCCTCAGCCCGATGTTTGCAAAGATGCTTCTTGAGTCTGGAAACTTCGGGTGCTCCAAAGAAATTGTCACTATAGCAGCGATGATGCAAATTCAGAATATATTTGTTGTTCCTCCCAACCAGAAAAAAGTTGCTGTAAGTAAAAATATGATTGGTAAAACATTTCAATGAATCACCCTCTCAGCATTTTAGCCAATATATTATGACATGTGCTATCTCAATCCCACAGGCTCGAGAGCACCGAAAATTTGCTGTAGCAGAAGGAGACCACCTCACAATGCTAAATGTTTATGAAGCATTTATAAAGGTTATATTTTGAATGCATTCATTTTTATGTAATTTGTAATGTTTACTTCTAGTGTTAATTCTTATTACTATTTTACTGTACTGGTGAATGGTTTTCCTGCAGGTGTCCTGCAGTGATTCATTCTCTATATAAAATCTGTATCGTCACCAAACAACTTTATGTCCTCTTGTGGCTCTTACAGCCCCACTATCTTTTAAGGCACAGGTGTCAAACATAAGGCCCGGTGGCCGGATCCGGCCCTCCAAGACCTTTAATGTGTCCCTCGGCTGATTTTCTACTAAAATATTTTTATTATATTTTCTATTAAAATATTGGTAATTTTCTGCGGTGCTTGGCATAACAGTGTCTCCAGCGTCTCTGTGCGTGGCCCCTCCCACCAGAGCAGCATAAATGAAGACTTGTCTCTTTTCAAACGCTCTTAAAGGATGATAGTTTTGACTGTTGACCGTGACACCCTCATCAGAAAAATGTCAAAAATTAGAAAAGTGGAGCCGAGTGCAGGATTTTCCAAGAAAAATTTACTTATTCCTGTTTGCATACAAGTTCATGTTAAAACATTGTGTTGAAATTGCATTTTTCTTAAAGTTTCAGGTTGTTCATAATATAATATTTTGTAAAAGAAACAGTTCATCAGTTAAAAAAGATTTCTGTAATAGATTTGTGTTTCTCTGCACAATTATTTGAACTTATTGCTGTTTTTGGGGTATATATGCCATGGAGTTTGGATTCGGCCCCCGGACCAAAATGAGTTTGACACCCCTGTTTTAAGGTCTTGGCCTGCTGACACCTATAACCCCAGCCATCAGTTTCCAAATATATTCACCATATTTTCTGTTTATGTGTGCAAGATCTGGTTTTAGTAACTTTATCCCCATGAAATTTAACATGAAATGTCCAACTATTAGGTTTACCTTGTATGGCCATCTCATATTTCTCTACTGAATAGTTTTGTTTATCTTTCCAGCATCAAAAAAGCTCCCAGTGGTGCCAACAACACTTTTTGAATTATAAGGGACTGCTGAGAGCGCTGACTGTGCGAGAACAGCTGCGGCGTCTCATGAACAAATTTAAGGTGCCAAAGACGTCCAGTGAAGGTAAGTTTGCCAAAACAGTTGTGGTCCTAGCAAATGTAAAATTGCAAAACTGGTCACTATAATTTGCTGAAAGGTACCCGTGAGAGTAATGTGCACTCCACCGACAGCTCATAGTTACTGACTTTGACCGGAGCCTAAAGAGTGGGAAAGAATAAAATAATGTTCACATATTTAACATGCCATATTCCTCTGCTCTCACAGGTGACCCAGATGTGATTTTGAGGTGCATTGTGTCTGGGTTTTTTGCCAATGCCGCCCGCATTCACCACTCTGGTTCATATAGGTGATGAACTGTTTTCCATACATTATCCACTGAGAACAAATTCATTCTATTATGAAAGAACGACGAATTACTAGATATAAAGCAACACAATGAACCATTAAAATTTAGGATGAGGCAGACTTCATTACACCTGATCAACAGAGAACAGTAATTAAGTAAGTTATTTGCAATAAATAAACTGGCTTTAATTTTTTTTCCCACAGAACTTTACGTGATGATCGTGAGCTCCATATTCACCCTAATTCTGTGTTGTATGGAGAGAAACCTCCAAAATGGTGGGTGATATTTGCCTTGTACAAAATCTTGAATCTTGTTAAAATTTTACATTTTCTCACAATAGTCGTTTTATTTTCAGGGTTGTTTTTAATGAAGTGGTCCAAACAACAAAGTACTACATGCGGGATGTGACGGCTGTTGAGTCGTCTTGGTTGGTTGAGCTGGCCCCACACTTTTACAAACAGGCTAAGGTTAGTGCAAACTTAAACCTTTTAGAGGCACAGTCTTATGATGTAAGAGAATAACTATTAGTAAAATAGTTATTTCCTTGCAGTGTAAGAGTGTGCCCGTCACTGTTGACTAATTAAGATGTATTAACTTAGGTTAACTTTACTTATTTTACTTACTTACAAAGTCTTACTTCTTGTTTCAAGTCATATTATTTGCAATTTTGCTTTTAATTACATTGATTTAATTTAATACATTTATGGAAAAAAGCCATACATACACATAGTATTCTATGATGGCATCACATTCCATCATTAAGTTTCCGAAATGAGTGATTTCATTTTTAGATTTTAACCTGTGCCTTCTGCTTTGTTTCAGCACGGTTCACTGGCCAGTAAGAGGTCCCGGGTGTTGTAACTTCTGCCATCTCTCTACCATCTAATTTAGAAGCCCTGATTTCCAGCTGCCACGATACTTCATTCCATTTCATTGTATATAAATGTATTTATAGCCTATATTTATGGTCCACCTGCACAAGTCATTCATGCTATGGATCTGTGCTGAAACAGAAGCTAATGACTGATATTTGGTCTGCATGAAAAGCTGCTTCCTTTACTTTGATTTGTCTGTGACAATGAGAAGAAGTAATAGAAGATGTCTGAAGCGAGACTGTTTAGTATAGTAGGTAAATTCTAATGTGTACATAACTAGAACAGGTTCAAGCCATGTGAAGGTGCCACACCTGGGCCTTGGCTTCAGTATTTTTTTAGCTTGTGGTTTTGTTTTTTGAATGATAAATAATGAACAATCTGTGACTGTGAGGAGGTTTCACTTTGAGTGCCTTTATGTTTTTAATAGCATTAGATGTTTATTTACATGTTTTTTATTTATTTAATGCAGTTAAAGTATATTTACTTTTAATACACATTTATTTTGTGACCTTTGAAATGCCTCCAAACAACCTAGCTTCAAGATATTGGCCTTGTCACCATACAGTGCCAGTTTTAGTCCGTTTATTTCACATTTCAAAACAATGGAATGTGCAAATATCCTATGTTAACACTGTAAATGTAAAACTGTGAATTTAAACCTACAGATAAAGTGCAGTTTGTTTTATGATAACATGGAATCATAAGATAAATCAAAACTTGTTGCATTTATAAAAGGCTCCTTCACCATATACAGTATAACTTGCATGCTACTTTAACGCTAATTTCTGAATTTAATTGGAAATTACTTATGGAAAGTTCATGGTGGGATATGTGACTTAGCTAAATTGAAAAACATTGCTCAACATTGTTCATGAAAACAGAAACAAATGAATGCTTAATTATTCTTACCCCGTGTTAACTGAATGTAGATGTTTTTAAAATCTGTATTCTGTTATGATTCACTTTGACAAGTGTATATTGCAGAAAACATCGAAATTTGAACCATCTCACAATCTTGCCTTTATAACACATTGGCCAACATTTTAATGTGAGTGAAAAAAGATTTAGCAGTACTTTACTTACTGCATGTAGCTTTAACATTTATGTTTTGTTTCTGCCTGAAGCATTCTGTGAACAAAATACTGTTGTATTACTCTTTGATGGGATTAGCTTTAAAGCCATAAAATCACTCAATTTTACTTATGCCTGCATGTTTTTCTCTCAACATCTTGTTCCAATATAAAGTAAAAGTTGTGTTTCAAAATACGGAAACAAACTTTAGAATAGAGTAGGGTAAATGTACTGATTACATAGACAGGGACAAGTTGCATGTTAAACTGCACCTAGCCTAAATACCTTAATCGACTGTACTTGAAGTCTTTTCATGTTGAGACAAAATGACAAAACCTGTTTAATCTCATTTGTGCTGACACTTGGATCTGTAACACTCTAACTGTACTTCTATAAGAATACTCTCTGTGCCCTTCTCTCCTCACACCCAATAAAGCATTATTACCATGCACTTATACTGAATTTATTCAAGACTCCCATGCAAGTATTCATGGGATTCAGTTACAGTGTGATAGTATTATTTCACTCACCTCTAGGTTGTGCTGTTTTTGATGTAGGACTCAGTTTTACCACAAGATGTCAGTAGTACCTCATAATAGCCTGTACTCTAGTGAGACATGATAGAAGTTTGAAATGAAACACAAGACTTGCATTATCGTTGACAATCTGTAGATCTGAAAATAAATACAGGGCAGAGTAACCATCCCAAAAAAGCCTTTATTTACTCAAAGAATTAGGCTCTAATGGTGCAATAACATCTCTTAGTCCCCATAGACTGTAGGATGTACAGGTTTAAGAATTTATTTGATAAATGTTCCTTTAAACACGTGCAGCATTTGCATAATCGTGATGTTTTACTATATGATTACATTACTATCCATGATCATGGCTTTCAGAATTATGAGTAATTAGGACCACGATTAACAATTTAAAATAAAAAATAATATATTTTTGAATGGAAAAACGTCCTCAATATGCGGCACATATCAGGAAGGTGATTCTCATGAATATGCACACCACAGACAAAATCACGTTTTATGTAGACATTTCTGTGGATATGAGATGAAAGTTAGGCCTGTAAAACTTATTGCTTATGCTTAAAATTAGATATTCAATCAACCAATCAGCAAATCAGTCAGTCAATTAATTAATTAAACCAACAAACTATGCACTACTGGAAAAGTAAGCCATATGGTAAGGCTAAGAAATTCTACAAATAATAAAACCTTTCAAACCTTTTCTGGGGAGTTTGGCGAGCCGTAGCATGATGAGATCATCCAGGTGACGCAACTATTTTCTTTTTTCCCGCATTTTCTTGGCGCAGACATGGATCATGGTGTGGATCATGGTGTGGATGTGCACAGGCTACAGCTGAAATGCCCTCAGTCTCGACTTCGACACACTTAGTTGATTTTATTATCTATTATCGCCCAAGTCAGCAATGACAATCTTCACTTGATGAGCGGTAAACTACTTTTACACTTTTTACTTCTTAGGCCTTGTCCTAAACGATATTAGCATTTAGGATTGGTTAGCATAGCTGTCATTATTGCAAGCTAATCATGGGTGCAAAAACTTCACTCTTTATAGAAAACGTATCAGCAGTCTTAATTTATACACTCTAGAGCGTAATTAAAAATGAAACCAGTAAACATAACCCAAACTTGTCTGACTTGACACTTTAAAAAATGTTGTCCAGGCTGGTGTTATCTGAAATGACGTGCGTGTCCGTCGTTGGTGCCAATCAAAGAAAAGTGGATAGGGTAAGTTTGTATGTTGGTTTGTCAGTTCTGCTCTGCATAGGCAGAGTGACCACACGTCCCTATTTACCCAGGACAGTCCCAGTTTTGGGCCCTGTGTCCCCTGTCCCAGCAGATTTATCCAAAACCAATGATTTGTTCCAGTTTTATACAAGAAATGTCCCAGGTGTCCCTATTATTGACCAATCTGATCCCTGCCAACTGTAAAGAGAAGCATAAATTATCATTTATTTAAGTAAAATACAGAAAACACTGACTCAGATTAGTGCCGAGTACATAACAATTTTCCATAATTACACTCCTTTCACAATTTTTTTATTAACTACCACATACCAGGGATGTCCCACTTTTTGATTATGGTTCTGGTCACCCTAAGCTTAGGGTAACCACCTGTCCCTCTTTTAATTGTTTTGCAAAGTCTAGGCCCCGTCCTCATCGCTCTTTTTCACTGATACCACATGAATTATAAAAAGTGACATTTGCATAGAAAAAATAAGAATATTGTTTTTTTTTTCTCTTAAAGTTTCGCTTTTAGTGCTGTAAGTGTTGGCACCTTTGCTGTTCTAATCCTTTTGTGCACTGATGTGTGCACCACTGAAAAAAACTAAAAACTGTATAGTGTTTTTGCAGTTATAAATGATCTTTAATTCCTCCATACCCCACCACATTCATATTTCTGTATTTTTCTACAATTTGAAGTGGTCACCTTAGCTCAGCAATCCATATTGTGTTAATTCAAAACAGGCTTGTCATGTGATGTTAAGTTAACCAGCTATTTTTCAAATCCTTTTGTAAAATCATTGACATGTTTTATCCAATTTAAGGAATGTTTAACAGTTTTAGAGGCTCTGATAGGAACACAAGTCATGTGTGAATGGTAATTACCCCCTGTTCAAAGTTTGTTCGTGTTTTGAAAGAAAACAGTGGGGTTAATATTTTTCTTTTAAATTAACTTACAACCTCAAGACATCTAGACCACATCATGAAATCATCACCACATACTGAAATGTTGCTTTGCATTGTATTGTTGACAAATTCTGGTTACAAATATGTATAAGGAAACTATTCAAATGATGAAGTAGAAATTGTTAGTCTTCACAATTCTCCTAATCTAATTTTATAATAACATCATTTGCCCTACACAAATGTATTTTTAGTTTGGTGTTGCACTTATAAAAAGGGGGGAGGGGGTGTTTATCATCTCTCTCAGCTGAATATTTCATTTTTAGCAGGTGTATTCGCATGACAAAAGAATAAATAAAAGATTTTGAGCCTGGGAGGAATTTTTACATCTGCAGGGAGGATGCAATCAGTAGCATGGGACTTGGAAGGTGCCTCCCAGGGTGACAAATTGAAAGTGTCTCGGCCTAGTTTATAGCCCTGATCAGGTCAAACGAAAAATATTGGAGGTCTGGGTGAAGAGACAGGCCCGCCCGGTGCAGATAAATGGACTGATCATTTCTTATTGAGAAACAATTCCTAAAAGGTAGTTTACTGTGTGACTGGGGAAGCGGCGAGCGGCTGTGAGCACCTCCCTGACCCTTCCTCCAGCGCGCGGGATTAAATGGATAGAGAGAACGCGTGTTTCTGATGGCACTACTCCACCAGAGAGACACTCCATTTGTTATGAAGTAGGGGCTCTGATGAAGTGTAGGGAGCTCCTCTTTCTCTTTTCCCCTCTTTTTTCATCCCTCCATTCTAAGGCACTACAAGGCCGGCCTTCAGTCTGCTTCATGTGAAATGGATGGAAGGAGCCGATTGAATTTTACACTCCCCTGCTCATGATTAATGTGTTTGGGGTAGGCTTTCTTAGCAGTGGAACTCCACATACACTAGTTGGTGCTCAAGCTCTGGCTACAGTGCAGGCGTTGGCACAGGGGTGGTAGATATGGTCCTTACAGTAGAGACATTTGATCTTATTGCCTCTTCTTGGTTGCACTGTGTTATCAGAAAAAATTTTATTCTTAAGTTCCATAAAGTGAAAGGACCCTGTTTGTCCTGGTAAAATTTCCTTCTAATTTGATCATAAGTCATAAAATTGCTGTTTATGAATTGGAAGCCTTATGTGTATGTTTTTTCAAATTATTAATCTAGCATTTGTGCATAGAGACAACCTGGCCTTTATAGCAGTAAATCCACTTATGGGCAGTTAAGTAATTAGCTATAAAGACTTTATCATGCATTTCAAGTTTGTGTGAAAACTTAAAATGTCTCATAAAACTGGGGTATTCGTCTTTTTTACTAAATAAACTTTTTGTGTTTTCCTTCTAAGAGTATATGAGGGTTGAATACCCTCTCAAGTTTTGAAAATCTGATACCCCAGATTTCATTTCTTGTTTATCGAGACAATATTTTAGGAAATCACTTTAAGCAGTATTTACTTTGTAAAAAAAAAAGTCATAGAATCCATTCGGCACAGTGAGCGCAAACTAGAATTCCTTCCAGTCCAAGTGCTTAAGTGGATGTGTGTTGCTCTGTTGGACGTCCCAGTGCATCCTGTGCCTTGGTCCAAGCCCTGCCTCGATCATCAAGACCACAGTGGATGATGGATGGAGCTGTCTGCCTCCAAGTTGTCATGGCATCTGTTGCAAGGGTTCACTTTATCCTGCTCTCATGCACACTGCATTAGGGGGCCAGAAGCTACAGTAGTTTTGTAGTTAATG